AACCCACGATACGCTCACTCTGACACAACCAGCCCTACCTTCTGTCAGCCAGCGTCACTCCATTGCAGATGCCCCGCAGGGCAAGCAGCGCTAACCTCTGTGCGCGCCCAGCCCCTCACAGCAAGTGACAAGTCTCACGTGTCGGATACCACTACTGCCGGTTTGCCGTATACGAGACCTGACCAGCCTGCGGAGAACAGCGAGGCCTCCCCCGGCAGTCACCCGCTGCGGGGGCTCACAGCATGCTGGGATGACGGCCACATGCAGTGCGGAGGGCCCCAGCCTCCTCCAGCCCTTACCGTGTGTGCTGCTGCAGGTGGGAGAGCTGGCGGAAGGCCTTCTGGCAGTAGCTGCACGTGTAGGGCTTGGCCCCTGAGTGGATGCGAATGTGCTGGGCCAGGTAGGAGCTGTTGGCGAAGCTCTTGGAGCAGTGAGGACACTTGTGTGGCTTTGTCTCCGTATGGGACTTGGAGTGGATCTGCATCTCCGACTTGGAGTAGAAGGTCAGCGAACACATCCGGCACCTGGGACCGGGGCGAGGGGAAGAGACAGCGTCACACTGGGGCAAGCCCCAATATGTATCAACTCTAACTGGAAGGGGTCTTCCACACAGCGAAGAAGGGACGTTTTTTTGCTGTGTGGTACTGGGGGGGTTCACCCAGGACACTGTGGTCAGCTGTGAGTTCTCCAGTCCCAGGGATACAAAGTTAAGCTGCGAACTGGTGGAAGAGACCAAATGATACCTTGCAGCCGGACAAGTAAAGGTCTCGGAAGAATCAAAGAAGTTAAGGAGACAGTGCAGCACTTTAGAAATTTTCCAACAGTAATCTGAAGGGGACAGGAATAATAATTCCCAGACAAAACCCACTTTGTTCATCTGTGATTTATTTCAGTCAAAAAAGCATTGGAAAACCTGAAAATCCCAGGTTAAGGTTCATCTTCGTAATAAACGTTAATTCCATGTACTGTAAAGTCTGCAGAAGCAGTTACAACCAAACCCACTTAACTCTGCTCCCATTTTTGGAGAACACACTCAAGTATTTAGAATACAAAATGCTGAAAATAACAGTGCTGCTTTCCTAGTGGGTCTCTCAAAAATACTCTAGATATCAAATGTGGTATTTCACTGGTCTAATGGGCTTTCATCATTTCTACCTTACCAACGTGACACAAAGTGTTTTGTCTGGGAGTTTGGACCCATCTGTTCCCATAATGATCAGAAACATATTTGGTAACACGCAGACTCTTTGAACAGGAAGCAGCAGTTGGCATCTATCTGCTATGGATGCTGCTGTTAAAAACTGCTCCTCCATCGTGACACCAGGCTGTTAAAAGAAGCTTGCACTGTTTTACAATTCAAGATGGTAAAAGCTTTTGTGGTTGATAATTTGACAGAGAGATGGAAGCTGCATCCAAGTTACTGGGCTTTTTTTTTTTCCCCAAATGCATGCCAACCAAGGGGCAGAGTTAAGATTTCTCTGAACTTAGTTCTTCCATTTGCAGACTTGTCAATGAAACAAGACAAAATCGAACCTGCACTTGGAACTTTCAGGGTCACATCTGAGAGGAAAAAATGCCACCCAGAAGAAGTGTGGCTAACATTCATTCAACCTTCACAGCAGGCTGACTTATGTTTTTGTCTGGGAATTCCCTCAATTTTTACAAGTGTTTATAAAACTGCTCAGTGACAGAAGTCTGTGCAGGTATTACAAGCCACAGAGAGTTGATCCTGCTCTTCCCCATATCCATCTCATCCCAGGAGCATACTTCATTACATCTACTACTGTGACTATGTTGGAGCCAGAAGCTTTATTAAGTGTGCTGTCTGATTAGCGTATGTAACGCGGGCAATATTTATCCAGCACCTACCTTAACCTCCACAGGCCCTTCCAAGCCACAGCTTGGTTTTAAGCCATTTAACTGGAAGCCATACCTGCCTAGGAAGCACTCTACCACACACCTGCCGTAACAATTTTTCTTCTCCATCACTGTTCTTTTACATTCATTATAATCTCTAACAGTTGTTCCCACATTTCCTGCCTTCATCTTTCTCTTAATCCACTTTAATTGCAAACTCTAACAGAATATGCAAGCTAAATACATCCTTACACAAATCCCCCTTCACATACACAACAATCCCTTCTGGAATCAAGAAACAGAAGCAATTTGGCTGTTTATCCCTAGCTGTATTAGAGATACAAAGAGTAAAAAGGAATATCAGAATCACCTTTTTAAAAAAATAGCTCTTGGTTTATAAATCCAATGACCTCCAAACACTTGTGACGTTTGTTCCAGACTTTCCAAAATGTTTACAGCTAGACTTGAATACAGCATATGCATTTTACAGTTATGAAGTCATACTTCCAAGATGAGGATTGTATCCTTGAAAGCAACAATGCTAGAAAGAACTTCGAGGTGAATACTGCACTGAAAAATAGCTCTGAGTCGCCAAGTCTAGTTCCCTGTTAATGCAAGCAATTACAGCACAATCCCATGCGTGACTTTTACCAAGCTCCTTCTCAGCAGATGCTTACTTCCGTTAGTCTTAGTTGAACTCCATTCCACAGTATCAGTCCTCTGATACGGAACCACTCAACTGAGAAGCAGCTCCCAGTGCCACGCTGTGCTAATACGGCTAACCAAATTTTTTTTCAGGAATGGTGCAACTATTCTTGCAACAGCATGTCTAATACTGAAGTCCACGTAGTCGTCAATTATTGAAAAACTCGGACAAATTCAGCAAACTTAAAGAATGACAGCATGTGGAAAATTGGCTTTACAATAAAGATTCACATAGCCCAGTCTATCTAGGTTTGGACAAAAGCTTAAAAGCTAACTTGGTCAATACACATATAAATTTATGTAGGGAGAAACATATAAATTACTAGAGGCTTGTTTTATGAGCAAAGAAAGGTATAATGAGAAACAATAACTGGCAGCAGAAGTTAAAAAATCCAAGAGGAAATAGGATCTTTCCAGCCATGAGAATAATGCATCTTTGGAACACTGCTCAGAGGCTATAATGTGGTCTCAATCACTTGGCCTCTACAATCAATATTCTGAGAATCCAGCTGCCTTTCTGAGAGAAATACCTTTCTAAAAGTTTTGCTATAGTTTAAATACAATGCTGGGCAGTAATCTCTTCTGTGCTGTACACATGACTATATATTTTAAACAGTCTATTCTGTTCTGAAAAATTCATGAACTTTACTATGTCATCAAGTCTAAGTAGTCCCATGCATTAAATTTGCAGTGCCATAAAGCCATCTACTTTATTTTCCATAACTTCTGTGCATCCTTTCCTTTACTTATTTGCTTTGTCAGGTATCTGCCTTCGGGCCAGGAATTCCATAAAATGAACTTAAATGAAGAGAAACAGACTGAATGTCCTTTTCCATTTTCAAAATAAAATTATAGAAAAGGTATGCACTTGCATAAAAACAGAAGATAAATCTGACTTAGCAAAAACAACCCCCATACCCCAAAACCAAACCCCCCTTGTCTGAATGCAGCAGCTATAGGCAATCCAGTATTGTTTTTCAAACAACATTTAGAAAGAAAGTATTGCAAGGACTCATTTTCTAATCACATAATTAGCATCAGCCCTGAGAGGGCAGAATGTTACATAGCATTAACAAATTCATGAGCCTTATGAGTTAAAAAAAAGCTCTGGAATATAGCAGAAAGCTGTGTTTCAGAGTTTTGTATTGTGTGTATCAGGCATTTTCAAGGGAGCAAATGATCCATTTAATTAAGGGCTTCGAATTCTGCCTCAGACAACATCAAATATTAAAGGGGAAGATGCAATCAGCCCTCTAGTGGGCAAATATGGATTGAAAAAATGTTAAATCTATATGGATAATGATAACATTGCACCTGACGCTAGCACCATTTCAGTGTTCTACTTCAGTGAAATTTTCCTGGCTGCAGAGAAGAAGAGTGCTCCTTGCTAAGCACCAACAAAACGCTATATGAAATAATTGATTTTTTTTCCCTCTGTTTAATATCCACGTTTAATCTTTTCTCCCCACTGTGCTTCTAAACTACCACTACTTTCACTGTGTTCCTTCTGAGAGCAAGTAACAGAAATGACTGCAGCGTTCTCACTGACAGTGTGACACAACATCCCTACAGCTGCTTGTTATGGCTCTGCAAATTTAGACAGCCTGGGAGAACATATTCTCAATAGCACAGAGGTTCATATAAACAGTTAATTTAGTACCCAGCCATATACAAAAGATCAAAAGTAACCCCTCCCAATGTTTATAATCCCCTCTTTTTATAGGGAATCTGCAGGGAAATAAAGTCAGACATTTAGAGAATGTCCATGTTAGACAGAAACACCCTCAAAAATCATGAAATGCCAGTAAAAGGTGGATGTGCAATTCTAATTCTGGTCCCATATGAAAGTCATCATGATGAGTCATAAACAAAATGATGCTTGTAGCAACTAGACTACAACTCTGTGGCACACAGTGCCATTTTTTTTTTCTCCACTTTTCATGGAATGTTCTGCCTCATTCATCAGATGCTGTTATGAGATAAAATACCATCTGAAAAATACCAGTTCATAGTAAAGCTTGCCTAACATGGATTAACAGCAATTTTCAATCAAGTGCTTAATTAATCACTATCACAGCTGTGAAAACTATGTAAACTTTTACATGGCTTTGACAATACAAATTCCTAGTATCTATTGAGATTAGTCTTAGAAATTAATTGAGCCCTTGCTCCTCCTGTTAGGCTTACAAATACAAGTTAGACCACAAGTTAAAAAAAAATCAGATCAGGAAGGTCTGAAGTTAAACTAGATGATAAGAGTACATTTAGGCTGTCAGAGTCATCAGTTCATTTAACCAGGAAAAAAATGTACTGCCTTTGCAATGCAGAGTTAATGAAGTAACTAATGCAAGCATAGCATAATAACAGATGCATAGTTCATGATAAATGCTAATTTAACCCTTGCACTCCCTGATTTTTTTTAAAGCTGAAGTTAAACATTTTCTTGCTAATGTTTCATAAGAGGCAGGGGAAAGGAGACAGAACTAATATCCAAGATACACAGCTAGAAAACTTGGTTAAAACCTAAAATAAAGCCAGTGAGTATGAAGATGCCAAATGAAAACATGAAACCTCTGCTTCCACGCTTCTACACCAGTATCAATTCCTGTTCAAAGGCTAACATTATGTTTCCATTTACCAGTTTACACTACTGGCATGCATACCAGCAAATCTACACTCAGAGATCTCAGTCAACTTATTTCCACAGTCCTTCAGTCACTCGGTAGCTCGATAAGTATACCGAAAATCACACCCTCCTGGCAAGGCAGAAAGTATTTTTAAATGCTCTCACCACACTGCACTTTTCCAATTCTCAGATTTGAGGGCATTTCTGCATTTTGTCCATTTTCCAAACGATCTTAAAAACATCCGACTCAGAATTTTGTGGTATTTCAGCACGCTTCACAAGTTGCCTCTCTTCTTTTAGTAACTCCAGCATTCACGCTTTCAACAGTTGCTTTTA